GGGAAAGACACTTGGAGCCTGACAAATCAAATTACAACCACGCATCTTGTTGAATACTGTCATGAAGATCATACTCTAATTAGCCTCTTTACTCGGTTTCTCCCATTCTCCCCCAGGCTATTTTTTCAGTAACCAACCCTCATGCAGATATCTTCCTGGTGGCCCGTGTGGAGAAAGTGTTACAGAATGGCATCACCCACTGCGCCGAGCCATATATCAAGACATCAGACATCAACAAGGTCCACTACTTTTTGCATGCACATGACGAAAGCGGCAGGAATCTGTCCAGCTCTGCCTTTGTGTTTTCTCTCCCTCGCCCACTGATTTAGTGGTTTCTTGCATGTCTCCACAGACTGCTCAGAAGGTGCTCAAAACTGCCAAGCAGACATGCCAGCGCTTGGGACAGTACAGGATGCCATTTGCCTGGGCTGCCAAGTGAGTCAGGAATAATCCATGATAAAGAAATATGTTCATGTGATTCATCTTTGGAATGGCCATATACAGGTGCATTAAAAGATATCGGCATAATAAGACACTGCATTGGATTTTAAAGCCTATTCATTTATAATGTATAAATGTCATCCATCCTCTATATGCTTCACCAGTAGGTATGGAAAATAAGGTTAACCTGATGAGATTTTGTAGCAAGGAAAAATCTTCAGTGAAACCCAGCTCAGTAGCCTGGTATTGATGATAATTAATCTATTGTTGAAAAAAAAAATGGCTTCCCACTGTCAGCCAATGTGGTACTGACCCAATACATATGTCAGTAAATATTATACAATAAATATTTAGGCAGGCTAACTTCCTGAAAATCACCCAGTTGAAAACAAATGGGATTGCGCTACATTAGCCTTAGATTTTTAGTAATAGTCCAACGTTAGCTCAATGTGTTTGTTTAACCCTGGTTGAGATGGTGTGTCATGTGTTTTCAGGCAGGTGTTCAAAGATGCTCAGGGCAGCCTGGACATGGATGGCAAGTTTTCTCCTCTGTACCGCCAGGACAGCAGCAAGATCACCACTGATGACCTCATCAAGCTGCTGGCCGACATCAGGAAGTGAGTCATCACCACTCCATTACTGTTTTAGCCAGTGCTTAGTTACTGTTACACATAACACTCATGCGCTTGCACATTTATATCTTTTTAAGTTTGTATTTTGCATGGTAATGCACAGGAGATGGCTCTGCTCAATATAGCTTTGGTGCTAACTCAACATTCACATAATGGGGGTTGTCAAATAAATACAGAGCACTTTTTAACTGTAAAGAGGTCCTTCATTCAGACTTAGCTGCAGCATCTCTTATTTTGAACCTGTTTATCTTTGACAGACCGGAGAAGAGCAAGCTTCAGGTCATCCCTGGGCAGCTGAATGTCACTATTGAATGTGTACCACCTGACTTCTCAAGTATGTTGTCACTTCAGTACACTCCCCTTAGGCTAACATCTGTCTGTAACAGTGGTTACACTTTGAAGGGACGTGCCCACCTTGCAAACATACTAACTACTTTACAACAGAGAAGTGAAAAAGGGCTCAAGCATCTTTACTTTTCAGTGAGAATTGCAATTAGATTTAGATTAAATGACTATTAAATCTTACATAAAATATCCTTGGTAGGGTGTAAAATGCAAACAATAAAATAGAAAAGTCCTGTACCTGGAAAAAAAAGAAGAGACAGGAAGATGGTGGTAGCAAAACACATCATTTGGAAGGGATTAGATAACAGCTAAAGGCAGGCAGTAAGTGAAAGTCAGCCTTTTGGGTCACAAAGGAAAGGAAGATGAGGCGAAGGAGGGGAGGAAGCATTTGGCTGATTGAGTGTACTCACATGAAGGAAAGAGTATGCTGTGGTAGACTTATCAGTGGTATAACTCAGGATAAATGACAGCATCTTGGACAAGGTACTCATACCTACTTTCTAGCAAGGATTCTAACTGTTACTACAATGTGCTGCACTAAACACTTGATTTGCAAGGTCTCGGCTGTTTTTGAATCAGTGTGAGTTTGAGCTGACAAACAGTTTGGATGTTTGCTTTGTACTTACCGTAGCTCAGATCCAAACTGAACGGCCCTGAGCCGACTCATAAGAAACAGGAACACATAAGCGGAGGTTTGCTTCCCTAACTCGTGCGCCCTGTCCTCCAGATACAGTGACTTCCTCCTACATTCCAGTCAAGCCATTTGAGGATGGTTGTGAGCGGGTGTCAGTGGAGATTGAGGAGTTCCTCCCAGAGGAGGCCAAGTACAACTACCCCTTCACCACATACAAGAACCAGCTCTACGTCTACCCCCTGCAGCTCAAGTACGACAACCAGAAGACCTTCACCAAGGTGTGGGAATGAAGCTGGGGGAAAAAGGACAAGAGTGGTGATGCTGAGAATGAATAATTAAAACGTTTCAGCTGTGTTATTGCTGCCTAAAGAGAATGAGCCAGATATCATTGACTGGACCTAGGGGGTTACACTCACTGATTATTTGCTTTGCTGGCTGCATTGACTGATGTGATGTTTTCTATACGCCAGGCAAGAAACATTGCAGTTTGCATCCAGTTCAGAGATTCAGATGAAGAAGGTGCTACTCCTCTAAAGGTGAGCTACATGTATTGTAGTACGGGAACTACTGTGTGCTAGTGATAGACACTAGATAGTGACTTATTGGAAAGGTTTTATGAGTAAGAACAAATCAGAGCTTTTAAAAAAGTTTAAAATATTTTGTGGTTTGACAAATTATGAAAATAAAATAGAATATTTACAAGAAATAAAAATGTTTCAAGAAGAAAGTTAGAATGCTACAAGACTGTGAGCAGTCTGTCCTCGTGAACTGATGGAGATGACCTAAGGTTTTAGGTTTTACCAGCAGACCAAATGATATAAAAAATGTTATGATGCTGTAGTTGTATTTAACCATTTACTCTATATATGTGGATTATAGCATTGTGACTTGCTTGATGATTTTAGACATGACTCTCAAGTTACTAAATTCATTCTTTTAATAGTTAAATAGTTTAATAGTCTTCTTGAAATCTCAGACTTGTTTTCTTAAGAGTGATCCTAATACTCTATCATCAATACAGACGTCTGTCCAGTGTCAGAAAAACTAATAAAGAGAATATTTTGTTTTTTATACCTACCAACATGGTAAATTACAATGTAAAGTACACAGTCACATAGCAGAACATTCAGACAGAATGGAAAAAGTCAGATGCTGTAGTCAACATGAGTTCAGACTGAACAAAGAAACACTTGGGGAATGTCTTGTGAGATTTGATCAAAAGCAGAGGCCTCGAACATGAACTTTCTTTTTTTATTACTTTTCACAAACTGGAAGTCAGACTGCAGCTGAGGGGCCAGAAAAAGAGAAAGGAAAGGCTTACAGAAGCTGGTTATTATAGCAGGCAAGAGAAGATAATGAATGGTCACTCCTTCTCTCTGCTCTCTCTATTTTTCTCTGGCTACACATGTCAAATATTTGTGGGTGGAAACAGTCATCAAAGTGCTGTACACACACTTTTCCAGAGGGTGAGAGTAAATCAGTCATTCACTTCAACAGCCAAAACATTGGACTTGATGCTCTTGATTCAGACAGTCATGCATATTATATCTCAGAGTGTACATGCCCACAAGCCGCTCTCAAGCTACAATTAAGGTACAGTGAAGGAGAAAGATGTTCACAAATAATGAGCAGGAGCCAGTAGCACACCTCTCAGGAGATTTAATCAGTCAGTGGAAGCTCCGGGAGGTTCACACCCATCTGACTGAAGGGAAATTCTCCTGAAGCTTTGGGAAACAGGGACATGAGTGTTGAAGAGGACGGGATTCTTCAGAGGCTGTGAATTGATTTCTTCTGTGTCCAAACTGTTATCTTTCCAATAAATAAGTAAGCTTTGGGCTTACCTGAAATTTTACTTTTAATTCCTAAAGCGACTACCAGCTCTACTAGTGTAAGGAGTAGAAAGTGTTTCAGTCCTGTGTGGTACAGTGCATGTATGAACAGGAGATAAGATTCCAGGCAGCTCCTCCAGCTATGCCTCGACCCTCATCCTGTGTCAAGGAGGCGTCAACATTTTACTTAATGCATCAGCGAGGGACCCTGAATGTGTTGTTTTCCCATGGTGGTATGCTCAACATGCACCACTTGTAGTCCTACTGTATCTTGTGATCTGCAGCAATAACTCTTTGCTGACCTAGTCAAACCTGACCTTGCTACACAGTTTTAGTTTCCCACAGAGCTTTGCACCATTTCAGAGTGCACTCATTAAAGAGCCCTACATTTACATCTACTACTGGCTTTGTGTGCTGTTTGGAAACAGCAACTGAATATTTATGTCACCACCACATGTGCTGTAACTGTTCTGTTTTCTATCATCAACATCCAGCAGAGGACAAAGGGCACTGCTGCTCAGTTAAATTAAGCAGTGCTGTACAAGGCCTCAAAATCCATTTACTTTTTCATGATAAGGCCCCTCTTGTCTAGTCAGAGCCCATGCTTTTGGTAATTTCAGGTTCCCCTTCTATGTGATGATGGGCTTGCACACTCACCCCAGCCTTTTCTCCAAATATTATCCATAACCACAGATCCCCAAGATCAATGTGCCAGAGCTGGGGTAAATCTCAGCTCCCTTAAGTGCATCCATGTTCCCCTCACAAAGATGCGAGGGAAGAGTAATTAAGGGAATAAGTTTTTAAAAACGGGAAGCATCCTTTCCTTTGATCATTCATCTGAAACATTCAATCACCAGCTGATTTCCACAAGAGTTTAGCAAAGGATGCCCTCATGTATACTTGCTCATGGTTCCTCCAGGCAGCCTCCTCAGTCCATGGCTCTCAGAGCAGGATTAACAGCTCTGGGACGTCTTTGATTCTCACTTGACCGGAACGACTTCCGGGTCAAATGAGGATCGAGGAGCGAGTAACGATTAAATAAAGGGAACTGGTGTTTACCCCAGGGTGACTAATGTGCTTGCTTGCCTTTCAGTGCATCTACAGCAAGCCGGGAGACTCACTGTTCACCAGCAGCACCTACGCAGCTGTCCTGCACCATAACCAGAGTCCTGAGTTTTACGATGAGGTGAGGTGGCTTCCTTGTAATCTTGACCCCATTCCAATGCAGTATCAGTTCATCTGCAATTGTACAGGCAACAAGTGACTTATTCTGTTTTTATGAATAAAACCTGCAGTAAGATGTATTCATCAGGTTATTGACGGTAAATATCAATAAGAAAACTGTTGAGAACTGCCCCAGAACCTTAGTTTCTTTGTTTTCAGAAGCACTAGCTGTGTTCCTCAGCCAGCACTGAGATAATCCCATAATTCTGTTTGTGTGATCACAGACTCACACACAGGAGCTCATCAAAAGAGGTAGAGCCAGGATACTGTAGGAGAGGTAGAACAGAGGGAGATCATATGGCCCTGATATCAAATGGCTTAGGATCTTAAGAGTCCCCAAATACACCCACCCATTCATGTGCACACACACTCACTGGGATTTACCTCCAAATATTTGTTTCCATTTTTCAGTCTTGATTTTATTTTGATTTTGATTTATTCTTTCAAGCATGTAAAAACAGTTGATATGACAACACACATAATTTTACACATAATCCAATATCAATTTGCTTATACCTAGTACATGCTTGAATGGAGTAGGAAGAAGTCAGACTTATCCAGTCCTACCCCATGACATCATCTTACCATCATTGGTTTGCAAGCAGTAAATAATTCTCTTCTACACCACACGAGTAATATACTAAAAGATTATAACAGTGTTAACATCTGTGTTTCATCTTACATCTGCCTGCGAGCAGTTTGGAGGTGTAAGATACCTGAGCGTGTAATGTTAATTTTACCTGTGATCCTTTGAATAAATCAGCACTGTTTTGTAGTTACTTGGACTGTCTCGTCTCTCAGAGTTAGCAATGGTAAGAAGTTGTGTGTACACAGTTGTGTACAGTCCTAACAGAATTGTGTAGTACAGCCTCAGCGTGGTGCTGGGAGATTTAGGGCCTTGCTAAAGGGCAGTCTGACAAGTAGTTGGGGGAGGAGGCATGTACAGCATCATTCTTACACCATTTTTATCCAACTTTTTTCTTCATTAAAAGAATAAAACCAGCAACCTTCACTTTCTATACAGTACGAGCTATAAATGCACGTTCTCCTCCTAAACCCTTCAGTACAAAATGCTCAGCTTGGTAAGCAACTTTACACACCAACCCCAGCTCTTTTCAGACACAACACCAAATGCAAGGTGTTGGCACCTGAGGCAGTGACTAGCATGTTCTTGCATGCTTTCTACATGACGAGAGTCCCTCAGAGTAACTGCAGTAATCAAACATAATGCTTCTGCTTCAGTACATCCACAGAATGCATTTTTCCATTTTATTAATTCTGTAAAAAAAGACTAGAAATGCAGACATAGGTATATCTGTTGAACCAGGGACACTGCTTTGACTATGAAGTGATACTGACTGGGTCTATTGTGAAAATTCCCGACAGCGTGCGTCATCCTTTCTGCACAGGGATCCCCTTGAGGAAACTGCACCCTCCTCGTCTTCCTCTAAAAGTCTAGGGATGAGCTGCGTTGCCAGTGACAGGATTTATGTAATCCACCATGCACTACCAAGACTGTGCTTGTCATTTGTGGCTGAAATCTGACCTGTGATGGTGACTAACCCACAAAGACTACAAGAAGAACAAGGAGGTGGGGGAAGGTGTGCATCCTGATGATGTGCTTTTCTGCCTGCTAAAGCACCAAGGACACAGCTGTCCAAATATATGCTCACCTCTGCTGCAGGGCAGGAGGTAGCTATCAAGGGGGCGGCTGTGGCTTAGGCAGTAGAGCAGTCATCTCCTAACCAGAAGATCGATTGTCCAGTATGAATGTGGAAGTCACTGAACCCCCAGTTGCTCCCGGTGAGGACACCGGTGTGTGAGTGTGTGAACCATATACCCATTGCTGCACTTTCATGAATAACAACAGGTACCTTCATGTTCAATGTTGCTGGTTGGTAGTTTGACATGCGGCTGTAGACATTCATCAGTCTACTGTTTATCTATGGCTCCAGGTTCACAACAAACACAAGGAAGAGGTCAACCTAAACCTTGTTCATCCACTATACATGGACATATATGGGAGTGCAGGGAGGCACGAGGTCAGAGGAGTGGTCATGTGACCAGATGGTATCCTGATCTAAATCCGGGGGGGGGGGGGCTTTGG